CAATCTTTTTTTGTGTGCGGATGGCGTTCGTTGCCTACCCAAGCAATGAGGTACTCACCTGAACGCCTACCGCAACTTTTTCTGACCAACCCATGGTGAATAATGTTATCCTAATGAATGCTTTGTTTAATTCTGGTGATGTTTCTTCCATAATTTTATAATAAAGCCATTGGAACAGGTTTCAAATAAATGCTCCATATAGGAAGGAACGGAGGAACAGACTGTAAGCCCTGTATCACAGATAATTAATGCACAACAGGACGACAGCGATAAAGATGATTAAAAAAAAATAATACAGGGAAAGCTGTGGTAAGGTAGTGGCAAGATGCCTGTTTGCAGACCCAAAGGTCTTGGGTTTGAATCTGCACAGAAGCAAAATTATATAGCTGACCTATCCCTGCTAGTTCGACCCTGCCTTTAATCAGGTACCAGGAAATGTCCTGGGAGGTAAAGGTGGTTGGATGATCAAGACCATGTCACTCACTAAATGCCAACAAAATGTGAACCTAGCATGATATACTCGATATACCAATGGCATGAACAGTTTAAAAAAAATACTAAGTGTAATAGTAGGGCGGACCCTGTGGCTAGAATATGTTCCTGTGTGGGTTCCAGGGCCCCATTGTGAGGAAAAAGGAGTAAACCCTCTACCTACCTAACAAGCATGTCGTAAAAGTCGAGTAATAAGGGGGGTTTCCTTTGAAGTTGGAGTGCATCTGCCCGAGCGGTAAGAGAACCAACAGTTCACATTAAAAAAAAAGCCACATTTGACCAACTCATGTGCAAGCAAGGTTCAAATTCTGGAACAAGACAAAAGTCAAGGAAGTGGATGAACAACCAGTACATGTTCTAGTGTTTAAAGAGAGTAAACGTGAAAAAGAAGAAGAGAATTGGATCAACAAAAGACATAATATATAAATTGCTCTTGGCATCTTAAAAAAAAAAAGATAAATACAAGAAGACTGTTTTTTTAATAAATTACTGTAATGAAACCTTTCCAAATCCAAAATAAGTTTTTCAACATAAATAAACACTCAGATTGAGCAAATCTTGATTCTAAGCTTCATTTACGAGGGAACTTCATGTACGCTGATTAGTATAATTATACAGTAGTTGTAGCATTTATCCAAAGGTAACAGCATGTCTAGATTGAGTTACAGCATATATACAGTAGTTATAGCACTCACAAATTTGTTAAAGCATTTACACACTGGTTAGAACATGTACACAGTGGTTATAGCACTCATACACTTGTTAGAGCATTTACACACTGGTTAGAATGTGTACACAATGGTTATAGCACTCATACATTTGTTAGAGCATTTACACACTGGTTAGAACATGTACACAGTGGTTATAGCACTCATACACTTGTTAAAGCATTTATACACTGGTTAGAATATGTACACAGTGGTTATAGCACTCATACATTTGTTAGAGCATTTACACACTGGTTAGAATATGTAAACAGTGACTATAAGACTGATAACTTGTTAGAGCATTTACACACTGGTTAGAACATGTAAACAGTGACTATAAGACTGATACACTTGTTGGGCATTTACACACTGGTTAGAACATGTAATCAGTGACTATAAGACTGATACACTTGTTGAGCATTTACACACTGGTTAGAACATGTTCACAGTGGGTACAGCCTTCAGACTATGACATGTGTAGATTTATTAGAGTGCTGATACATTCATTACTGCATGCATAGTAGTTAGAGAACTCTCACTTATAGAGTGGTTATATCATGACTACACTGGTTAAACAGGAAGCCACCCCGGTGGAGTGGTTAAACGCTTGCCTGCGGATCCGAAGGATGTGGGTTCAGGTCCTGACAGAGCCGGACTTTTAACAAAAATGCCCCGACCCAGCCTTAAATGGGGCAACAGATAAAGTCACAGGAAGTAAAAGCAACCCGCATGATGATGATGACCATATCACACACAGAGTGCTGATTGGCCTATTAAAAAAACAACAGGTCTAGCCCTATGTGCCCAATACGCGTGAAGTCATGAAAATTGACCCTTTACTTTTTACAGTGGTTAAAGAACATACACTGGTTTCAGCATCAGTATAGTGGTTAAAAAAAAAACACTCTTAGCAAAGCACATCTACAGAGATCAAAAGAAAGTATTTTCAGAGGAACTGAAGTGACCACTTATGAAACAAAGCAGCTACATAACGCTATTAACAGCAAGTATCAAGTGCACTCAGTTCAAAGCAGAGTTAAGTAATTTACCTTCTAGACATCAGAAGACTGCAATACATAGAAAATTATCGTGCAGTGTGAATAACAATTAAATTCACTATTAAATACATTCTTTTTATCATGGTATGGGAGGTCATAGGTTCAAAGCCCAAAATGGGTACCAGGATGTATTTTATGGGGAAGTAAAGACGGCCGGCATAATACTGACCATATTACCCACCCAGTGTTGATTTGTCTGTAAAAATATGGGTACTCTTTCCATATGCCCGATGCGCCTAAAGGCGTGAAAAGGGATCTTTACTTACATAACTTTATAACACACATTCATCTTTTGATCCCAATTATCCTCATGTTTTTGTTCTGAAGGAGTCGGTGACATAATGTCCAGGTCTCGAAAAAAATAATTTCAGCCAACATTTTTATGGAGCCGCACTAGTGTAGTGGTGAGAGCTTGCTTGCTGACTTGAAGATCTAGGGTTCAAATCTGTAGTGAGGCAAATTTTTTTTAAACTGTCTTTAGCTCCCAGGTATCCAGCCTGAAACTGAACGAGTTAATGTCCTGGGAAGCAAAGGCGGCTGGTATGAAACTGACCACAGCATCCACTGCATGCGACAAGTGTATAAAAAATGTGAGCCTAGCCTCAAATGCCTTTGGCATTAAAAAAAACTGTCAATATGTCTCTAGCTGTCTTTTTAACGTACACATCGGATATGATTATGTTATTAGTTTTAATGGGATATGAATGTGTATACAGATACCTGCTTCTAAACAAATGCTCAGAACAATTAAAGAATTATGATCATGCAATACATATTTTATTATTAAACAACATTAAAAGTCTATGGGTAAGCACCAGCAAGGAAATTATAATTTTGGAAGCATGCATCTTCCCTGTAGCAACATACAGATGTCCTTAAGAAAAAAAAAAAGGGGGCTTTTGAGCTGAAATGCTATAGATAGATTTTAAAAATACCATGGACAAAGAAGAGGAGAAGTATTGACATCTTGTAAGATCTGAACTTCAAGGAAGATTGGCTAATAAACAGCATCCTGTCTCAGATGCTGAAATATTGTGGTCATATCAAGTGCCATGGTGGATTGGAAAAAATATTAGCAGACGGCATGGTTCCAAGAAGGAGGGGCAGGGGCCGACCAACCCAAAGATGGGCACAGTATATAAGTGACTCCTTGAATATGAAAGTTCATGAGGTGGGATAATTGGCAAGACACTGAGTTTCTTTGATGCAGACAGTGATGAGAGCGATGTTCTGTAAAGAACCTGCTACATGCTGAGGACATATTTTATACTAATGATAATTATGCGATACATATTATAATGCTAGAGGAAACTGACAAACATTAAAAAGGACAAAGAAATAAATGTCTGCATAAGATTAGGATCTCAAGCATTTTTCTATGGCAACATACATATGTCAGAACCAGATTATTTTGCAGTCGCTAGAGACAATCAGGACATTTGAATCTAAATGTTACAGGAAGACTCTTAGAGTGCGGTGATGTCAATTCTTGACTCAAATCAACTTTTAGAGTATCATGGACCAAAAGGAGGAAAACTGCAGACACTCTAAAGGATCTGAATATCGAAGGAGAGTGACTCATAAACAGTATTGTTTTTCGTAAACTGAAATACTTTGGCTATGTTAAACACCAAAATGTTTTGGGGAGAACAATAATAGAAGGCTTGGTTTCTGTAGGAGGCAGGGGTCTATCAGCCTGATGGTGGACACAGGATATCAAGGACTTCCTAGGCATGAAAGTTCAAGAGGCTGGGAGTCAGCAAGGTAGTGAGTGGCTTTCCTTCCCTTATGGATTCCGGGGCCCCAGTGTAGACAAAACAAGAATAGACCCACCCTTTAAAAAGCATGCCATAAGGGTGGATGATGGAGCTGGAGTGGATCTGCTTGAGAGACAAGGAACCATCAGTCTTCATACTAATAAGCAAGATCTGTAAAATGGGTTGCACGCAACATTTATTCTGGGACCAGACTCAAGCCCAGAAGAGGATGAATAACCACATTTTCCGCGGGAGTTTACAGCTGGTGAATGCAAGCGAAGAAGAAGAAGGAGAACAGGAAGAAGAGAAAGAAGAAGAAGAAGGAGAATAGCTTTCCAGCATGAGAGGAACCTTCTGCAAATACCTGCTGCATAATGATGATTTTTACTGAATCCACAGTGAACAAGTCTTAACTGCAGGAGCCCTTTTATGGGTAGGTTGATAAATTGGGGATGTCTGTAAACATCAGGATATACAAGTGGGAAAGGAATATAGAGCTAACAGAATTGGGGAGTGGTTCTGGAGGAAAGTACATCAGGACATACAATTGAAAATGAGGTGCTCCAGAGACTCTGAGACAAAGAGTCGGAGATGAGAAGCCGCCTGTTGGAAATGGGTATTACATGAGGACAAGCATGCAGGAACTGGATGTAGGGTAGAGAAAGAAGATGTGCCAGTCAACTCCTACTGGATGCGTTGAGCATGGAGACACCAAAATGGCTGCCGTAGGGGAGGATGGTGCACAAATGAGTGCGACCGATACGCTAGATGTTGATATGGACTAGTAATAAGTCTGTTTACCTATTACAGGCAGCATGCAATACACTAATATACACTTATGTATACATACAGACATCATGTCGATATACTGACTAACAAAACAAACTTCCAAATAACACAGGAACAAAAAAGAGAGTAATCACTGGTAACTGACCCCATTGAGAGCCGATTCTGCCCGAGACCGAGATCTTAGCCCACTGTGCCCACTACCTCCGCTGGGTGAAGCTTCTCGGACGCTGGTGGCACCAACTGAAGTTTCCGAATCCCAACGTTCCAGCTTCTTCCCTCACCAGCTTCTCCATCTGTTCACGCTTCATTTCATCACTGGTTCCATCAGACTACATAAAGAGCATAAAGAGGTTAATATTTCAATTTTTTTTTTTTTAACATAAAAAAAAAAAACACCAAACAATAACAAAACAACCAATTCTGGTGTTTGTCAACAACATAAGCAAAAAAAAAAATACAAGTAAAAATCTGGCAAACATATATCCTATTTTTTCCTGTGGGTTCTGGAGTCTTATTTTGGGTGGTGGTGGTGGTGGGGGGGGGGGTGGCGGAGAAAAGACTCACTGCCTCCTTAACAAGCACATTAAAAGGGTTATTTCCTTCGAAGCCGGAGTGCATCTGCCTGAGAGACAAGGAACCAACAGTCTGCATACCCATGATTTGATCTGTAAAATGGATGTGCAGTCAACATTCAGGGTTCTGGAACAGGACTTCAGTCCAGAAGTGGACAAAAAGCCAGAACTGTCCGCCAAAGTTTACAGACGTGAAGAAAAAGAAGAAGACGAGGAGAAAAGATAACTATTTTAACTGTCCTCTGGTATTAAAAGGATTAATTACACTTAACGCCATAAACACCTCAAGCCCCAGCCCCAAACACAACATTCACTCAGCTCTGGTCAAAAGGCCTCATCATAAAACACAAGAGACTGATACCCCATTTAAAAAATGTGAGAGACTGATACCTAAAAACCTGACCACCCATTCTTTGCAAAAATAAATTTCTCAATGTCCAGTTATATAGCTCGGTAACACTATCAAAGATCTTTCCCACTGCGTTTCAGCTTGGCTTTTTTCCCAGCCTCCAGTTTAACCAGAAAGAAATCCCTCATTAAAAAAATGTGAGAAATACTTGACCACATAGTCTTTACAAGTGACCAGGCAGAAAGCCTTTATCACAAAATGTGTGAGACTGATACCCAAAATACTTTATCTATTCTTTGTAAACATCAATGTCTCAATGTGCAGTTACATACCTCTGTAATGCTATCCAAGATCTTTCCCATTGTTTCCCTGCGTTTCAACTTGGCCTTCTCCATAGCCTCCAGTTTTACCAGGACGGCATCAATCTTAGAGACGATACTGCCGATGGAATGCTCCATCCTGTCCACTCTCCGGGACAACACCGTGAACTCCTCGTATGAAACACCATTTGAGGTGCGGCCAGTCCGGGAGGATTTCGTTCCACTGTCTTCATCATCGCTGTCATCACCACTGTCTCCATCATTGTAGCTGACTCGGCTGCTGGGTCGATCGGCTTTACCTCCGAGATCATCGTACTCTTTGTTAAGGGCAGCCTGAAATTAGAGATAATATAATAAGGAACTTACACCTTATGCAATATATTACTGTCATGGGAGGTTATGAAATTTTTTTTCCTCATACGGCAGTAGCTGCCGGATGAAAAAGCAGTGCTCTCTGCATGTCATGTCGAAGCTTCCCTGCTACACCACCTGCCAACCAAGACAGTTAAAGGAAACCTTGAGGTTATGGCAGGGCAGACCATGTTCTTAGCCTTAGCTGGCAGCTGGTCTAGGAGGAAAGCTCTGACAAGCAGACAAAGCATTAGTCTTCTAATCAGGTAACTTTTGCAGCCAAGATTAGTGCTCTGTTCCAAAACACACATTCTGCTTTTTCCTTCCTTTGGAGTACACAAGGTAGTCTTATAAAGGGATCAAGCAGTACAGGCAACAGAATGCCCAGGCTTGAAGCCATCAACTTTTCAGCAAGTGTGTCTTGCTAGCCATACGTGCCATGGCTCTGGGCATTCTTCTTCTTTGTGTCCACCAGCTGTAACCTCCAGCAGACAGTTCCAGCTGTTCATCTACTTCTTCACTGTAGTCCTGTCCCAGAACCTCAGTGCTGCATATGCATCCATTTTTACAGATCTGACTTATCTGTATGCAGACTGTTGGTTCCTTGCCTCTCAGGCAGGTGTACTCTGACTTCGAAGGAAGCTTTGAGCATTGATACCCACCCACATCTTGCTTTAGCATAATACTGTGAAACCTCGGTAAATTTATTTCAAGGGACCGAATATAAAGTTTATGTTAAATAAATGTGTGCAGACCGGGGACTAATAATATTACATCCCTGCAGGACAAACATTTTGTTCATATTAACCAAGTGTTCTTCTTAAGCGAGTTCATGTTAATGAGGTTTTGCTGTATAAAGACTATCATCTGGGAATATAGTAAGGTTATCAGTTTTCTTTGTGTTGAAATTTGTTTCAAGAAATTCTACATTTTAAATGTTTATTTGCCCATGGTGTTCTCATTACCCTTCTCTACAACTGTATAAGTGCAGTTTTCACCTAATTTCCAAGAAATGTGCTGACCGTAGATGATTTCCCTTTATACATCAGGTCTGGTTCAAATTAGCCTTTCACTTTTTTGTCTGGGACACAATTGGAAATGGAGGGGGTGGGGGTGGGTGAGGGGGGCGAGAGGGGGGGGGGGTAGAATCAGGTTAGTACCAAATCTAACTAAAATATATAGGTACAGTGGGGACTGGCAGAGCAGTAAAGCCGAAAAGGGGTTACTCCTGGATCACTAATGGACGGCAATGCGAAAGTGTTCAGATTCTGCTTTGGCCTGCGGGCTACTACCTGAACTGGACTACTATAACACTACCCTAAGTGGTGTGTTAACCTGGTGAAAACTGCAGTCCTGTGTGGGTGAATCATCTGTCTTCAGAACTCTTTTTTTTATTTTGTAAATTTATATTAGGATTACAAAAAAATAATACAAAGTAACGGGGTTTAGCAGTTTAATTTGCAGTTCATAATTCCCAAATACCTAGTTCAATTCAGCTGCATTTGACTGTTTGGTGTTGATTTTGACTAGTACGGATTGTTGTCTCTCCAGAAGGCAATAGCAAACTACTGAAGGTAACACTGCCTAGTAAAACCATAACCAACCAACAAATGCTGGAGTTAGTTTGCAACATCCTGATAGGATATGTGACTAACTTTTAAGATACAACATACCTTCTGATCAGCCAGGTCTGCCTGCATGCGTTTCTGCTCCTCCTCTCCCAGTACTCGGTCCCCATCAATGTCATACTTGGCAAACACAGCTTCGATCTCCCCGTCAGCATACCCTCGGCTGCAGAATATAATACAATATTAACTCTTTGTTGTTGCAGTTGTTGTCCTACTGGGTAAAGATTCAACATCACATCATTCAGGACAAGCCCAAATTAGCCCCGTCTTAATTCTCAACAGCCAGTGAAAACTCGTCATCTGGTTAACTACTCGTTTTGCCTTCCCCTCAAGTCCTGAGTGGCATCCAAAGCTCATAGACATCCCCCCCCCCCCCCCCCCCCCTCCCCCCCCACCCCCCCCCCACCACCCCCCCCCCCCCCCACCCCACCCACCCCCATCATAGTCGTCCCACAGTTAAGAGATCACCTCTGCCTTGTGGAATTCCAGTACACACCCAGGTGGGGCCGGTCCAGCCAAGCTATCTGCCTGCTCACTTCCAGACACGCCTACACAGGCCTGGGCAATACTTGCCGTCCAGCCTGGTGATTGTGTGTTCAGTTCTCCTTAAGAGGAAGATTTTTTTTTCACTACCTGCCTGGATCAAATTAATGTAAATGAATATCGGGAATTTCCTGAGAAGTAAAGGTAAACGACAATCTACATTTTTTAGTCATGATATGAGAAGGAGAAAATGAGAGTACATTGTGAAAGTGAAAAGTCACTAAGTCCATCCGCTCAGTCAAACAGCTCCCTGCAATTTAGCACTGAGAAACTTCAGGTGACCATCCACTCAGTCAAATAGCTCCTTGCACTGAGAAACTTCAGGTGACCATCCACTCAGTCAAATAGCTCCTTGCACTGAGAAACTTCAGGTGACCATCCACTCAGTCAAATAGCTCCTTGCACTGAGAAACTTCAGGTGACCATCCACTCAGTCAAATAGCTCCTTGCACTGAGAAACTTCAGGTGACCATCCACTCAGTCAAATAGCTCCTTGCACTGAGAAACTTCAGGTGACCATCCACTCAGTCAAATAGCTCCTTGCACTGAGAAACTTCAGGTGACCATCCACTCAGTCAAATAGCTCCTTGCACTGAGAAACTTCAGGTGACCATCCACTCAGTCAAATAGCTCCTTGCACTGAGAAACTTCAGGTGACCATCCACTCAGACAAATAGCTCCCCGAGTCACCCTGCCAACTATACATTCAACAAACTTTTCACAATGGAATGCTCCAGCTAACAATGCACAAATAACTTTTGGCAATAAGATACCCTGTTCATCCACTCAGACAAATGACTCCCTGAAATGAGACATTCAAGCCTACATCCACTAAGACAAATGACTCCCTGAAATGAGACATTCAAGCCTTTCATCCACTCAGACAAATGACTCCCTGAAATGAGACATTCAAGCCTACATCCACTAAGACAAATGACTCCCTCAAATGAGACATTCAAGCCTTTCATCCACTCAGACAAATGACTCCCTGAAATGAGACATTCAAGCCTTTCATCCACTCAGACAAATGACTCCCTGAAATGAGACATTCAAGCCTTTCATCCCCTCAGATAAATGACTCCCTGAAATTAGACATTCAAGCCTTTCATCCACTCAGACAAATGACTCCCTGAAATGAGACATTCAAGCCTTCCATCCACTCAGACAAATGACTCCCTGAAATGAGACATTCAAGCCTTTCACCCACTCAGACAAATGACTCACGACTTCAGATCTTGGCGCCATTCATCAAAGTCCAGCTGCTTGTCCTGGTTGATGTCTGCAGTCTGCAGAGCTTTCTGGATGTCCACAATCTTGTCTCTCTTGAAGTTCAGTTTGTCCAGCATCTTCATATAACCCTGCCATTCAATAATTTCAACAACAAAAATAATAATAATGCCAACACATATAAAGCCTTTTGAATGAACTGAAACAAACATACAATAAGCTGGAATAAATACACTGAAATTTTTCTGTGTGGGTTCCCGGACCCCATTAGGGAGAAAATAAGAATAGACCTACTTACTGCCTCCCGAACAAGCATGTCATAGGAGTCAACTATTTGGAAGCTTCCTTCAAAGTCAGAGTGCATCTGCCTGAGCGGCAAGGAACAACCAAATACACACAAATGAGCCAATAAAACGGATGTACATGCAAAACTCAGGCCCTGGCACAAAGCCCCAATGGACGAACTACCAGGACTTTTCAGCTTGAGCTTACAACCGGTGAACAAAGAAGAAGATGAATAAATAGGAATTGGGAGCTGCCATTGTGTAGTGGCTAGACTCTCTCCTGAAGATCCAAAGATCGTGGGTTCAAATCTGGACAATGCTGGACTTTTTTCAGAAATGACCTTGGCTCCCAAGTCAACCAAGCCTTAAATGGGTACCAGGTAAAAGTCGTGAGAAGTAAAGGCGGCTGGCTTGATGGTGACCACATCACCAGGTGCCAATGGTCTATAAAATATAGGCCTAGCCCTATATGCCTGAAAGTGTGGAAAAGGGTCCTTTACTTTTATAAACAGGAATTAAGCTAGGATTTTATGTTTGTGTCCCTTCATTCAGCAATATCAGCACACAGAGATGCCTCTACGGCTTCAAGGCCAGTGAATGCAGTTCACAATGTCACAATCTGTGATATACCAAGGTTTGATTTTTGCAGCAGAAAGCTTATATTTAAAAAAAAAAAAAAATCATTCTTCATACCACAATCGGGTCCCGAAACCCACACAGGGATTCAATATTATGCATGAACAATGCCCTACTATGCACGGAGCATTTCTTTGGGAGAGAAAGTGTTTAGCAATAGGAAACATATTTACCCGCTTGAAGTAGTCGGCAATTTCAAACTCGTTCTTGGCGTTGGCCATGTCGGACTTGACCTCAGAGTAGGTGTCGTTGATGATGGCCAAGAACATGTTGATCAGCACAAAGAAGACAAAGAACACAAACAGCATGAAGAAGATGGGTCCCAGGATGCGGTTGGCTTCTTCCAGCTGATGGAAGTCAAAGTCTCCAAGGATGATTCGAAACAGGGTGAAGCTGTGAAGATTAAATATGAAACACACAGTCAAGGATCAACTCTGAAATATTAAAGATCAGGCGGAAAGTAAGGTCAAAGATCAATTGTGAAACAGCTCAAAGATCAACTCTGAAGCAAGGTCAAAATCAAATGTGGAGCTCTTCTCTCCTCTTCTTCTATATGTTCACCGGTTATAAACTTTAGCAGAAATTTCTGGTTGTTCATCCAGTTCTGGACTTGAATCTTGCTTCAGAACTTGAGTTCTGCATGCACATCTGTTTTGCAGATCTGGCATATTTGCAAACACTGTTCATTCCTTGCCTCTGAGGCAACTGCACTCCACCATCTAAGGAAATACCAGTAGCCCGGCTCTCTAGCGTAGTTGACTAACCCGGATTGTGCGGAGACCGGGTGACGAATTCCTTGTGGTCCGGGTTCAATCCCGGGGGTAGGCAGGAAAGCCACATTTTCTCCCAGATTTACGGTATTTACAATGGAGTCAAGGCCGAAAGGTTGCGATATCCATAATACCGAGCCTAAGGGTTAACAACTCATGGCTTCTGGATACTAAAACAAACAAACAAACAAACAAGGAAACACCGGTCAACTTTTACTACATGCTTGCAAGGGGGCAATAGGTTTATTATTTTTCCCCTGACAAAGGGGCCCCAGAACCAACACAGGAATCCAAATGTCCAGCAAGGTCAATGATCAACTTGAAACAAGGTCAAAGACAAAGGTCGAAAAATCAAGGTCGTGCTATAAAACAACCTTGAACATTTTTATATATAAAGTAGTTATCTTGGTAGCAAGACTATCCTATTATCATCATGTGATGTGCCGATAAGTGTTGGTGGCCATGGTTCACAAAATGTGAGCAGTAAATGATTGTCTGGTGCACAGTGACAGTGACCTATCTCTTGATTCATTTTCAAGTACCTGGTCTGGATCCTACAAGGGTGATCCTGACTTTCTAATCCTCACTGTCATCTGAGATTTTGTTGAAGTTGGTGCTACTTATATTTATTGTTTAATGTCCAAATGTAAAGTTGCTCACCTTTTCTGGTGCTGCTTATTTTATTATTTAATGACCACATGTAAAGTTGTCCACTTTTTCTGGTGCTGCTTATTTTATTATTTAATGACCACATGTAAAGTTGTCCACTTTTTCTGGTGCTGCTTATTTTATTATTTAATGACCACATGTAAAGTTGTCCACTTTTTCTGGTGCTGCTTATTTTATTATTTAATGACCACATGTAAAGTTGCTCACCTTTTCTGGTGCTGCTTATTTTATTATTTAATGACCACATGTAAAGTTGTCCACTTTTTCTGGTGCTGCTTATTTTATTATTTAATGACCACATGTAAAGTTGTCCACTTTTTCTGGTGCTGCTTATTTTATTATTTAATGACCACATGTAAAGTTGTCCACTTTTTCTGGTGCTGCTTATTTTATTATTTAATGACCACATGTAAAGTTGTCCACTTTTTCTGGTGCTGCTTATTTTATTATTTAATTACCACATGTAAAGTTGTCCACTTTTTCTGGTGCTGCTTATTTTATTATTTAATGACCACATGTAAAGTTGTCCACTTTTTCTAGTGCTGCTTATTCTATTATTTAATGACTACATGTAAAGTTGCTCACCTTTTCTAGTGCTGCTTATACTATCATTTAATGACCACATGTAAAGTTGTCCACCTTTTCTAGTGCTGCTTATACTATCATATAATGACCACATGTAAAGTTGTCCTCCTTTTCTAGTGCTGCTTATACTATTATTTAACAACCACATGTAAAGTTGCCCATCTTTTTTAGGCTGCTTATACTATTATCCATTCTACAATGGACTAAGAAGAAAAACCCCATTCTTCAAACAGTTAAGAAGATAAAACCCATTGTTTAATGAACTAACGAGACAAACTTAATTCTTTAATAGACTAAGAAAATAAAACCCACTCTTCTATGACAAGAAGTTACAAACCCATTCTTCTGTGGACTATATTGTAGATCTTCCAAGCACTATAAAGTTAATCCCTGTTCTTCTGTTGACTTGGAAGTGAAAATCCAATATTCAATGGACTAAGAAGATAAAACCCATTCTTCCAAGTACTTTAAATTTAAACCCCATTCTCCCAGATAATCCATCAACCAAAAGACCAACTGATGAACCAACACATCAGTAACCTACACAAGATGTACTTACAAAGAATTCTCAAAGCTGCTGAAGTCTTCGACCTGGGTTCCAAACAGCAAGTAGCCCAGCTGTGTAAAGGCCAGAAAGATGATGATGAACATCACAAAGAAGCCAGCCAGGTCCTTGGCACAACGTCCTAGCGTGGAGGACAGCTGGGTCATTGTCTTGTTGAAACTGATGTACTTAAAGATCTGTGATGAATGAGACACACATTCAGGTTAATTAGTGAGCCGTGACCACACTGTAGTTAGCAGGTTTACTTACCAAGCACATTTAGGAAACACAGTTGATAATGTCAACAGTTGTTGATGTCAGCAGTTGATGATGTCAGCAGTTGATGATGTCAGCAGTTAATGATGTCAGCAGTTGATGATGTCAGCAGTTGATGATGTCAATAGTTGCTGATATCAGCAGTTGATGATGTCAGCAGTTGATGATGTCAATAGTTGCTGATGTCAGCAGTTGATGATGTCAGCAGTTAATGACATCAGCAGTTGATGATGTCAGCAGTTAATGATGTCAGCAGTTGATGATGGCAGCAGTTGATGATGTCAACGGTTGTTGATGTCAACAATTGCTGATGTCAACAGTTGCTGATGTCAGCAGTTGATGATGTCAACAGTTGATGATGTCAACAGTTGTTGATGTCAGCAGTTGATGATGTCAACAGTTGTTGATTTCAACAGTTGATGATGTCAACAGTTGTTGATGTCAGCAGTTGATGATGTCAGCAGTTGAAGATGTCAGCAGTTGATGATGTCGGCAGTTGATGATGTCAACAGTTGCTGATAAGGTTCACACTGGCCTAGACCTATCTTCAGTCATCCTAGACACAAGTTAATTATTGGGGCCCGGCCAATGTAGATAGGATAAATGTGTTTTTTTTCCCCAAGTTAGAGTGCATCTGCCTGGGAGGTGAGGAAACAACTATTTGCATATAAATAAATAAGCTGGATATATAAAACTAATGTGCATGCTAATACTCAAATTATGAAAAACAAATCAAAGTCCAGAAGTGGACAAACAACCAGGGCTTTCTCTCAGAGTTTATAACCGTTTGAGAAGAGGAAGATAATGACAACAAAAGCATTTAAACTACTGAGAAATGTCATCTTCACATGATACATCTAGGGCTCATGTCTACAGGACTATTAGGGTCAGGGATGCAGATAGGATAGTGTGCATGGCAAGCGTCATACATAAGGCACTAACCACAAGAGGTTACTGAAGTCAACCAAGAAGACAGGACAGGCTGTGCACGGCAAGGGTCATATATAAGGCAGGAACTATATGAGGCTACTAAGAGAAGTCAACCAAGAAGACAAAACAGGGTGTGCACGGCAAGGGTCATACATAAGGCATGAACCACATGAGGTTACTGGGTGAAGTCAACCAAGCAGATGGCTCACGGTCAGCTGAGAGCCAGACATGACAGAAGAAACATTGAGATGTGAACACAGTAATGCCATGTGTGCAAGCCTTGCTGCATCAATTAGGTGGCAGTAATCATTTCTATGGCAGTAAAAATTTCTTAGGCAGTAAAAAATTTCTATGGCAGTGATCATTTCAATGGCAGAGATCATTTTGATGACAGTAATTACTTAGATGTCAGTAATTACTTAGATGTCAGTAGTTACTTAGAGTAATTACTTAGAAGTCAGCAATAATTTAGATGTCTGTAAAGATTTCTATGGCAGTAATAACTTTTATGGCAGTAATAATTTCTGGGGGAGTAACAATTTAGATGTCAGTAATTACTTAGATGACAGTAATTACTTAGATGTCAGTAAATACCTAGATGTCAGTAAATACTTAGATGTCAGTAATTACTTAGATGACAATAATTACTTAGATGTCAGTAATTACTTAGATGACAGTAATTACTTAGATGTCAGTAATCACTTAGATGACAGTAATTACTTAGATGTCAGTAATCACTTAGATGTCAGTAATTACTCAGATGTCAGTAATTACTTAGATGTCAGTAATTACTTAGATGTCAGTAATTACTTAGATGTCAGTAATTACTTAGATGACAGTAATTACTTAGATGTCAGTAATTACTTAGATGACAGTAATTACTTAGATGTCAGTAATTACTTAGATGTCAGTAAATACTTAGATGACAGTAATTACTTAGATGTCTGTAATTACTTAGACGACAGTAATTACTTAGATGTCAGTAATCACTTAGATGTCAGTAATTACTTAGATGTCAGTAATTACATAGATGTCAGTAATTACTTAGATGTCAGTAATAATTTAGACGTAATAACTTCTTCTTCTTCTGCCTTTCTATCCCCCAATGGAGCATAGGCCCTCAACCAACTCACGCCAAGTCGTTCTATCCTTCGTTATTACATGGAGCTCTCCCCATCTTTCTAACTTCATTCTCCAGCTCTCTTCTCCATGTGTTTTTTTGCCTTCCTTTATTCCTATGTCCCTGTGGGTTCCAATGCAAAGACATTCTAGTTATGCTGTTTTCCTGTTTTCTCAATGTGTGCACTTTCCAAAGCCAGCATCTTTTCCTCACCTCTTAGTCCACTGGAGCCTGTTTAGTTCTCTCCAAAAGCACTACATTAGTTATTCTATCATACCATTTAATTCCCTCTATTCTGCGCAGGCACCAGTTAATGAATGTATGTAATTTATTAGTAATTGCCTTAGTTGTTTTCCATGTTTACGCCCCATACAAAAGTACCGATTTGAGACATTGAAATTAAAAATTTAAAGTTTAGTATTTCTTTTAATTTCTTTTTACCTCCACAAATTCCCTAGTGCTCTGAAAGATCCTCTTGCCTTTTGTATTTTTATTTTAATATCTCTATCAGTTCCCCCATCATTATCTACATTACTGCACAAATAGGTGTACGACTCCCCGTCTTGGAGTAGGGTGCCATTTAGAGAATAACTTAGATGTCAGTAACAATTCAGATGCCACTATTAATTTAGATGTTTTAAGCCCCAGGTAATGTATTCACTTACTGCTTCACTCTGTTCTGTTTACTGATACCCCTTATAAATATTTTGGGGGAAAAACCTGTCCAAAATTTAAATAAATAAATTTTTATAACATTTATTAGCAACCTGTGTAAATTAGTTGTGCTTTTCATGATTTTTTCGCCAGAAATTACCACAGGTTCGTGACTCTTTAAAAAAAAAATAAGTATTCACAGGGCAAAACAAATTACTTGTTTCTGAGACACCATGATGATTATAAGCCATTTTCTTCAAAGTTGAAGTGAAATAAAAAGAGCTAAAATAAGCTAGAAAAAAATACCTTGATCCAAGCCACGAATACCGCGATAGCCACAGCATTGCTGAACCTGGTCTCCCAGTAGCTGAGTCGCTCAAAGTCCGAGTAGACAGTCGGATCCTTCAGCAGGTCTGTCAGCTTGTCGTTCACCTGCACAACACAAAATACATGTTTTTTTTGGTCTGATATCTTTTAATGATTTTAAATCTTTACTGCAGGTGACTAATTTCACTTCTCTCATATTGGGTGTAACGAGAGGGTCTGGCCGGCTCACTACACTCAGAGGAAAGGCAAGACAGTCATATAAGCAGATTGTGACCGGTAGCATCAGTATTGGAACTCTGCACTGGCTGCTGAAGATGAGGACGGAGCACACATGGGAATGCCTCGAGTGCTGTGATGTCAATTCTTGACTCAACTCAACTTCTCCCGTGTTCATAATTTCCTAGACCTGCTATCTGTGGTAGTCTAACTCGTCTGTACTGTATTTTTTATAAGTTTTTTTGTGCATTCTTATCAGTGTTTGTGGTATTGCATATTTGTGTAATGTGCTGATGAAGGCTTTATAGCCGCTACAGTCTCTTGTATAACGTGAAGCTGACTCATTCCACTTCTAGTCTGGTTTGATATCTTGTAATGATGTATTTCAGTATGTTCTTATATTTGATCTTCTATTATAGGAAGTGGGAGTCGCCGTGGTGTAGTGGCTAGACTCTCACCTACAGATGAGAAGGTCATGGGTTCAAGTCCTGACGGTCAAAAACTGCCAATTACTGCCTTTATTATACCACTTTTGCGGTGTAGACAGGGGAGTCTTTGAGCCTGAGGATTTACGGCCGCACGACTAGTCCTACAATCATCTTTACAAAAGTTCAAGTACAAAGATTACAACAATCTGTATATCACATCTGGTAGAAAAATTAAAACAAAAAACAATCTTCACACAAGTGAAAACATCTGTACAAATATAACAACACTTTCTTTATAAGATAGAATTTTGGTACAAATTTAAAAACTGCAACACATTTTTCTATACAAAACAAGTCTGGTACAAATATAGCAATGACAACAATAATTCTTACATAAGACTTAGTTTCCATATAGACATGATGGCAACAACAAAAACAAAAAACAATAACCTTTATATAACTAACAAACCAGAAAGATTATCAGCACACCATCGACCAAGAAGACAAGAAATAGTGACACCCTAAAAGATCGGAACACTAAGGAAGACTGGCTGGTAAACAGCATCTTGTCTCAGAAACTGAAATACTTTAACCATGGATTGGAAAAAATAATTGTGGTAGGCATGATACCAGAAACGAGGGGGGGGGGGGGGGGGGGGTTAGGGGGGGGGGGTTCGAACAACATGAAGATGGGCACAGCATATCAGTGACTTCTTTGATATGAAAGTGCATAAGGCGGGAAAGCAGGTGAGAGATTGAATTTCTTTCAGGCAGACTGTGATGACAGCGACTTTCTGCAAAGGACCTGCTATTTGATAATGATGAACTAACAAACTCTGGTACAATATGATAAATACAACAATAATAACCATTAGAAAAGAAAGAATCTGCTACTATGATAACAACTCCCTCTAACGAGAAGAAGCTCAGTCTCACCTCTAGAGTTCTGTAAATGTTAAAACCCACGCAAACAACAGAAATGATGACCATGCAGATGTCCAGAACATTCCAGAAGCCTTTAAAGTACTCCAGTTTGTGCTTCTTGATCTGTGAGTAATAGAATGAATGAAAACAAAATTAAAGTTAAAGTCGAGGAAATCGACTACACTGCACCGGGTTTCAATCCACATGGCTCGGTACCTCTCCGCAGAATGCTAGCTGTCTGCCAAGAGCATCGTACAAAGCAAGAGCTCTGCAGCTAAGGTGACAACCCTCAGGTATCTTTGTAAACTCTGTACTCATGAACCGAACAACGCAGCCATAAAATGAACCCATGATATTCAAAGCAGGAGACAAATGGCTTGACCTGTTCTCCAGAAACGATATCACTATACTTAGGACATTTCCCCCTCGTGTGCCTTGTCTCCTTGTCCAATAACCAGCCAAACACTTTCCAAACTGACAGTGAACAATCCCTGCTTGTTTCTCAAAAACCAAAGGTTAAAAGAACATTTATTCACCAGCAGTTTGCTTACATATAACTAACAGCTTCCATTGTGGGCTCCGCAGCCCCCTATTTGGGGAAGAGGGGGGGGGTAAAAGAAGAGACCAACAGTCCCTTAGAAAGCAGGTCATAAATGGTGACATATTAGGAGTGTTCTTAAATTAGACATGTTTTGCCGAAAGGTGCAGATATCGCAACCTAGCTGTAAATTGAACCCTGCAATTGCCTTTTAAAGGATAAACGCAAAAGAAGAAAATCATTCACTCATTTTCCTGTTGTGCCATTTTATGTCACATAAGGCTTGCAGTCTATCCCTCCATTTCTTTCAGTCTTGTGCAATCTCTTGAGTATCACTGATGGAATCCAGCCCAGCGCCTTTGGCCTCTCTCATCAGCATTTATTTTAGGGTTTCTTGTGGACATCCTCACCTTCTCAATCTCTTTATTTCCCATTGTAACGCCTGTTGGGTGATTCTCTACATATTTCAGAAAAAAAGAACAGTTAAGAGCTACAACTCAGTTATCCATTAAATTCCTTAACAACCAACCATCAGTTAACTCTTTCGGTCCCACATAGTTGTTACTTTAACCATTTGTATCCCAAGTGTGTGTACTTTAGAGCAACAATTTGTGCGTCTTATGATGTTCATTTTTGTAAAACTAATGAAAAAGAAAGTTTAGGCTCAGAATAGGGTTACTGTAAAAATAAAGTAGGATGATTTAAAGTATCATAATAATGGGGCACAAGAAGTTAACACATATGCACGTACACACCGTACATTCCTTGGCACCGCAAGAGTTAATAGTTACAGGGAAGCAACAAACAACACAAAAGACAAGTGTTACCTCCAGCACTTCCTCCACGATGTAGTAGAGGATGAACAGACAGAAGATGATCTCACAGGCCAAGATGAAATAGTCTCCGACCGTCACATAGCGGATCAGTTTCACTGTGCGGAAGGTCCATGAGGGGATGGCGCCACCTGTTGCAGGAAACTCAATCAACAGCCTAGGAAGTGGAGCAGAGACAACAACAAAATAAGGTAGGTCATTTGAAGATTTTATTTTAGGGTTGTCATATTTAAGTGTACACCTTCTCCTCGACTTGCAACAATGCGACATAACGACCATTTGCACTTGGGACCATTAAAAATTAATAAATTAAAATAGGTAACTTGAGAAAGACAATTACACTGGTAGGGTCAAAGCAACTCATGCTATAGAATACAAATTTTGTACTTTTCACGTTACACACAATAACTTTACGTACACATAGAATTCTTGTGTTTACGCATAACTTATAACTTGTTTGAATGCAATTAGTGTTAAAAATATATCAATTTGACTTATCACCTGTTAGTGGAAATGGAACTTGGTCCTTGGTCAGGAAAACCCCTGTATAAAGACACAAGATTTAAGAGGCAGGGACGCTCCGAGGTTATAGCATCTGCCTCTGAATCAAGCAGACGTATATTTTCTAAAATCAAGTCTGATTTCTGGACAGTGTGTTGGCTGCCTAAACTTCTTGGATGAGGGTGAAAAATTCTAAGCACCATTTTACACATTACAAAGATAGTTGGAAACAGAAAGAAGCGGAGGCCAAATTTCTAAATCAGAACAGAGATATTAAAATAAAAATACAGAAGTCAATCAGCTATCAAAACACAACAAAATATGTGGCAATCACAAAACACTTTAACCAGCACGGCTAAACAGCAGCTGTGAGACACCTATCTGCGAACCCGAAGGTCATGGGTTCAAATCTGAACAGAGCTGGGCCTTTTAAAAAATGACCTTAGCTCCAAGGCTGACCCAGACTTTAATGGGTACCAGGTAAAGTCCTGGGAAGTAAAGGCGGTTAGCACGATGCTAACCACATCAGCCTCCATGTGCCATTTGCTGTATAAAATATAGGTCTAGCCCTAAATGCCAAATACGCCTGAAGGCGCGGAAAAGGAATTCTCACTTTTGCTGTTGGATGGAGCGATGACACGGATGAATAAACATTTAATAACAAAACAGAAGAAATACACAGGTAGGATAGAATCTTAGGAGAGTACTGAACAAACTCTCACGAATGAAGAGGTCAGAAAAAGATGCTCAGACTAGGCATGACAATTATAGAGACCCCCGTGTGGGTTCCGGGGCCCCATTGTGGGGAAAATAAGAACAGACCCACTGCCTCCCCAAAAGCATGTCGTAAGAGTCGACTAATTGGGGAGCCTCCTTTGAAGTCGGAGTGCATCTGCCGGAGAGGCAAGGAACCAACAGTCTGTATTCAAGAGAATGAGATCTGTAAAACTGATGCACACGCAACACTCAGGTTCTGGAGCAGGACTGCAGTTCAGTAGTGGACGAGCAACCAGAACCTTCCACCAGAGTTTACAGCTGGTGAATGCGAAGAAGAAGAAGAAGTTATAGAGAAAACTTGACAACAGTATAAGTAAGATGTTTTTGCACCTGAATCTATGTTAAGTAAAGTATAGTAAAGATCCCATTCCACGCCTTTTAGGTGTACTGGGTATATGGGAAGAGTGCCAATATTTTTACGGACCATCGGCACTAGGTGGGTAATGTGGTCAGCATTTGCTTTCCCGGGACAGCCATCCTGGTACCAATTTTAGGCTGGGCCGGCCTGCAACGCCCCATACCACGTTGCAAAATGCACGCAGCCAGCAGTGAGTTTCGATTGCAGTATGTTGGAATTACGAGTCGGACTGGCAAAGCCTAAGCCACTGACGCTGCATACTTGAATCTATGGGGCCAAAGAAACAGTAAAACACGAGTTTTTTTTAATTACGTATATTGACAATTTTTAAAACGTGTAGGATAAGGGCTTGTGAACCTGAGAATTCAAGGCTGCCGGTTTAGTGCAGGCCTCAACAGGCAAACTCTCCATGCCTTACAAGGACTGAACCCAGGTTTGTTGCACAAGAGCCTAGGGCTCTAGCCATTTGGCCAGCCATTCATAAAAATATTAACTTGAAAACACATGGAGAATAGAATTAATGGCTCTCTGTGCGCGGAATAGAACTCCACTGGGAGACAGGAGGGCAGACCCAATTCCCTCCCATAAGACAAACCAAGAAATGGTGGAGAGATAATATACAGGCAGGTCCCTGTATTTATAGAGGTGAGTAATATTACTGCAATAAACTTCAAGGGCTAAGAATACTAAAGTATAAAAAGAAGAAGAAGGAGGAGGAGCAGGAGAACAACAACAACAACAACTTACCTGATAACACAGAACAGATTAATGTTGGCGTTGTACACAGAGAAGTCTATAAAAACAGCCCGAGTGCCCCGATCAACCCACAGTTTCTCAAACAGGTGATCTATAATTGCTGAAGACTCGGTCTTCGTATTGTTCAAGTCCTTGTAATATCCTGCCCCGCTGTAAGTGTTCAGCAGTCCCCAGTGTGATGAGCCACCAAGATGGCTCTCAGAAAAGTAGCGCCACCTGAAATGTTTCATACGTTTAAATTTAATAAACTGCATCAAGTCATCACGTAGCAGGTCCTTTACAGAACATGCCTCTGACCACAGTCTGCATGAAAGAAACTCGGTCTCTTCTGTCTTATGCAATTTTCTATCTAATCGATTTGTCACCTATATCTTGTACCCATCTTCAAGCTGGTCAACTTCTGCCCCCACCACATCAAGTAGCTCAAAAACAAAAAAGCTACTTGAAATGTTGCTATTATGTAAAGTCTATATAATCTTTATGCTGCTGTTGCCACATAAGACATTCACGAGTGATCTCCAGTGCATTCCTTTATCTCCCTTTCTAATTTCCTCCCTTCTAGCCTTCATCCCCAGCTCCCATTTTGCCAGTCATCTGACCAGTTTTACTTCTTTCCACCAGTGCAATGTTTTCACCTGATCCAGTTTCGGTAAGAAGGTAATTTGTCCCACCCCCCCCCCCCCCCCCCCCCCCCCCCCACTAAAAGGTTCTAAAGCTTTGTCCAACTTGGAGGACCTGGCACTCGTATGGTCTGACCTTTCTTTTCATGACCTGTCTGACACAGTTAAACCTGCCAGAAACACACATCCCCGCCGGACACGCTTGAAACCTCCAAGGGCACAAGTTTACTGCCCGCATAGCTCTGAGAATCATTACAACACACAAGCCATCCTGCCCAACAAGGCACCAGAACCAGTGGATGTACTATGTAAAGTAGCTAGTAGAAAATAAACGCCACCTAGGATATTTCACAGGTTAAAATTTATGCTACTATGTAAAGCAGCTCTTAGAAAACAAATGCTATTTCTTATTTTTTTTAGCGTACAACGGCTTTAATCTTTGGCAGAAGTTTTGATTGTTTGCCTATTTTCTAGACTTTGTTCTTGTTCCAGGACTTGAGTTTTGCCTGCACATCCATGTCACACTTCTGGCTTATATGTGTGCAGACTACTGGTTCCTTGCCTCTCATGGAGACGCACTCTGGCTTATATGTATGCAGACTACTGGTTCCTTGCCTCTCATGGAGACGCACTCTGGCTTATATGTATGCAGACTACTGGTTCCTTGCCTCTCATGGAGACGCACTCTGGCTTATATGTATGCAGACTACTGGTTCCTTGCCTCTCATGGAGACGCACTCTGGCTTTGAAGTAAACAACCCTAATTAGTCAACTTTTACGACATGCTTGTTAGGGAGCTGTGAGTATATTCTTCTACCGAAATACGGCTGGTGAACCTTAAGAAGTAAAGGACGCAATAAGCTGCAATAAAAACAAACAAAAATAACACGTAAAATTAACACAAAAAAGGATACAAGCGTTAAAAAAACCCAGACAGGACAAGCAAGAAACAGAGAGGACACACAAGAAACAGAGAGGACACACAAGTAACAGAGAGGACACACAAGAAACATACGCTGTATTATTATATTCTTCCAGGTACGGTCCAAATGGTTCCTTATCCTCAATGCTTTCAGCATAGGAATCAAAGCATTCTGTGATGAAGTTGGCAAAATCTTCATGCACCTAAAGGAAGGGAACAAACCACAGCTGAAGTAACACTAACATGTTTTCAACTCTGTTTATCACAACAAAAAAGCAACCTCTTTATCATCTGTTTCTTCTTCTTAGCGTTCACCGTGTGTAAATTCAGATGGGAAGTTCTTGTTGTTTGTTCACTTCTAGACTTAGACCTTGCTCCAGAACTTGACTTTTGGGTGCATATCAGTTTTGCAGATCTGGCTAACTGATAGCTAGACAACTGGTTCAGTCAACGGCACTCAGACTTTGAAGAAAGCACCCCTAGCTGCATCCTATGACATGCTTAGTGGGGAAACCAAACCTGTTCAGATGTGTGCTCTTCTGTATGGATGTGAACACTGGACATGAGCAAGACAGTGACAGAAATCTGGCTTTTGAGAACCATTTCGAGAATATCATTGACAGACAAGAGAACGAATGCTGATCTAATGATAGTTCTTATCCCTGTGTGGATCCGGGGCCCCAGTTTGAGGTGAAGAAAAAAAAAAATAAATGAACAGACCCACCACACTGCTCTCTAAGATGCATGTTGTGAAAGGTGATTAATTAGGGGCTGCTTCCTTAACAGTTGGGAGAATCTGCCTGAGAGGCAAAGAACCAATAGGCTGCACACAAATAAATCGGATCTGTAAAACAGATGTGCGTGCAAAAAATCTCCTGAACAAGACCAAAGTCCAGAAGTGGACAAACAACCAAAACTTTCCACTGGAGTTTACAGCCAGTGAATTCTAGGAACAGGAAGACAGTTCTCAAATTTCAACACAATTTCATTGAACTCTTCTGATATTTTTCTTTCTTTAGATCCTTTCCCTCTTCACCTATCCATCAACCTATCCCCCCCCCCCCCCCCCCCCCCCCCATTTATCCATGCACAACGTCTTCCATACTTCTGAGCCAACAGAACTGGCTGTGTCTGCATGTCATCAGTGCTTAGTGGAGGAAGAAGTATGGGCAGGGCAGACATACTGCAGGTTCTGTGTTCCAGAGACACAGATACAAAGGAACCGCTTGTTGGAAATGGGTACTGAACCAGAAAAAGCATGCAGAAAGTGACCGTGGGGCAAAGATAAAGATACAGCAATTTACTGTTGCTGGCTACCTGAGCACAGAAACACTGAGATTGCTCCTGCATCGAAGGACAGAGCAACAATGAGTCAGACCGATGAGCCAGGATGTCAACATGGACAGGCAACAAGCATCCATACATCGTGCCAACGACACACTGGCATTACCTGACAAGAGTTTTTGCGGACTTTGAGCTGACGGATCCTGGGAACCCCTAGAAGTTTATTCTCGTAGTAAATATACCCCATTTCCTCTGGTGACAGTGACTCATTGTTGTAATGTGTCTCCTGGTACAGCCCATCCATGAGAGGTCCTCTCGCAAACTGTTAACAATAACATAAACTGTTAGCAATAATACAATGTGTTAACAATAATACAGTGGTCATCTAACTAAATTGTAATAACAGTATAAACTTTTAACAACAATACAATGTATTAACAATAACATGGTAACACAGCCTGTTAATAACAATAAAAACCTCAAAATAAGGCATTTAAAAATCGGATAAAAAGTTAAAAATAGGACAAATGGTAAGCAATAATAAACAGTGTTAATTATTGTACAAGGAATTTTCCACGACAACTACATACAACTTGCTTTATAACATTGTTTGTCATCCTTGTACAACACACTTCTTAAGGTTTTTTTTTTATAGAGGTAGACAAACACTTAAAACTGCATATAAGTTATCCACTGCAGTGAGACTTCCCCAGTGATTAACTTGAACCTGCTCAAAGCAGCAACATGATCCCTGACCTCATGTCAGTTACTCCACCTATTCCTTCCGAGCACTGTAACAACACACTACATCCGCATTTTCTCCTGTCTAGGCTCGGGGCCATATTCTGGTGGGTGGGGTGGAAGAGAAGAGATCCACCCCCCCCCCCCCCCCCCCCCCCCCCAAATGATTGGCACCTTCCCGTCTTTCCAGACGACAGTGCTATATTGACTATGACGAGGCATGGGACTCACAGCCCACAGTGAGAGTGACTAGCAAGCCTTGCCTGCGTTAAGAAAAGTCTTCCACAATTACAGCATGGGATTTCAGGACCATTGTTGTCAACATTTGTGTTTAGTGTATTTCTTCTCAGATGCTCAGCTCTCATTTTTTCTGCAGTCATTTCTTCCTTCATTCACATTTCCTTCCTGATGTCTCCACACACCACAGTTCATGGCATTTTGTTCCCATGAGTCCACTTCAATACCTGTATCATTCATGTCCCGCATGCACACATCTTTATATTGTAGTAGAGGTCAGCCTCGACATCTTCTACCTGTCTTTAATTCACCATAGAGGATGTCCTTAGGGACTCTGCCATCTTCCCGTTCCCCCCCCCCCCCACTCAACAAGCATGTTGTAAAATACAACTAATTAGGAGTGTTGCCTTCAAAGTCACAGTGCATCTGTCTGAGGTAAGGAACCAACAGTCTGCATAAAAATAAGCCAGATCTGTAAAACAGATGTGCAGGCAAAATGCAAGTGCTGGAACAATACCAAAGTCCAGTAGTGGATGAACAACCAGAACTTTCTGCTAGAATTTACAGTTGTGAACGTTAGGAAAAAGAAAAAAGGAGAAGAGAAGCTGCATAGTCATAGCAAAGCTTCTCTAACACGGCTTATCTGATAAAATAAAACAGGTGGACTTTCAATCAGGTTGCAACTGGTACTGTTAGCATATCGACTCTATGTTGGCTGCTGAGGAAGGAGACAAACCACATGTGGGAATGCCTGAGTTCAGGGATGTCAATTCCTAATTGACTGATTCATTCATTCATATGGTTAAGCTCTACAAGTATTTATCTCTATGCCTTACATATTCTCTCTTTCTATTTAAAAAAAAAAAAGTTGGCATCCTGAAATAGGCACATTGTCATTCCTTTCTTCTTAAAAGATAAACACTCTCATGAGTCTCCACGGCGAAGTGGTAAGCTGTTTGCCTCATGCTCTAAAGGTCATGGATTCGTTTCATGGCAGTGCCGTTTAGTTCAAGAGTGCAATTTTTATAGAGATCGTTGCCAGAGCTACGGAGGCCCTCCTCTGTGCGACGCTCTCGGCATTCAACTAGCTGTTCTACAGAGAAAGATGGAGCCATCTGGGATAAAAACCCAGTACAATGAAGTCGAACCTTTCACCTTTACCTTCACTTTTGCCCCCAATCTTGACATTTTCATCAAGTCCTGGAGTCTAGTCCTTCTCCGACTGCCTCTTTCATTTCTCTTACCAGTATAAAGTGTTTATTTGTCTCAGGGTGTTCTCCTTCTCCGACTGCCTATGTTTCATTTCTCTTCCCAGTATAAAGTGTTTATTTGTCTCAGGGTGTTCTCTTTCTCCGATTGCCTATGTTTCATTTCTCTTACCAGTATAAAGTGTTTATTTGTCTCAGGGTGTTCTCCTTCTCCGACTGCCTATGTTTCATTTCTCTTCCCAGTATAAAGTGTTTATTTGTCTCAGGGTGTTCTCTTTCTCCGATTGCCTATGTTTCATTTCTCTTACCAGTATAAAGTGTTTATTTGTCTCAGGGTGTTCTCCTTCTCCGACTGCCTATGTTTCATTTCTCTTACCAGTATAAAGTGTTTATTTGTCTCAGGGTGTTCTCCTTCTCCGACTGCCTATGTTTCATTTCTCTTACCAGTATAAAGTGTTTATTTGTCTCAGGGTGTTCTCCTTCTCCGACTGCCTATGTTTCATTTCTCTTACCAGTATAAAGTGTTTATTTGTCTCATGGTGTTCTCCTTCTCCGATTGCCTATGTTTCATTTCTCTTACCAGTATAAAGTGTTTATTCATCTCGAGGTGTCCTCTGCTTTGTTTTTCTATCCTTCCATGATATTTGTTTATTATTTTTATCAGAAAAACTAAATTTCCTAAATAAGTGTTTGTCTTTCAAGAAGGAAAGCAATGGCAAACTACCTTCTTCAAGATGGCAAGATTAGTCCTGACACAGACAACGTACTCTTGGCAAAATTAGTCATAACATAGACAACTTACACTTGGCAAGATTAGTCATGACACAGACAACTTACTCTTGGCAAGATTAGTCATGACATAGACAACTTACGCTTAGCAAGATTAGTCATGACATAGACAACTTACACTTGGCAAGATTAGTCATGACACAGACAACTTACTCTTGGCAAGATTAGTCATGACACAGACAACTTACGCTTGGCAGGATTAGGGATGAGATAGACAACTTACACTTGGCAAGATTAGTCATGACATAGACAACTTACGCTTGGCAGGATTAGTCACGACATAGACAACTTACGCTTGGCAGGATTAGTCACGTCATAGACAACTTACGCTTGGCAAAATTAGTCATGACATAGACAACTTACGCTTGGCAGGATTAGTCACAACATAGTAACTTACGCTTGGCAGGATTAGTGATGAGATAGACAACTTACGCTCCAGAAATCCTCCACACTGGTGATGTCCTTAAAGGTGACATCTTTGTCATCGGCTGTGTTCAAGAACAAGTCACTCATAACCTTGGTGTAGTAATACATCGTTGTTGACGTCATGCCAAAAGTTACTGTTGAGGAAACAAAAATGCCAGTTTGCAAATCACAGACCATTACTCCTCATGTTAAAGAGCAAATCACAGACCATTACCACTCATGTTAAAGAGCACATCACAGACCATAACCACTCATGTTGAAGAGCAAATCACAGATCATTACCACTCATGTTAAAGAGCAAATCACAGATCATTGTCCCTCATATTAAAGAGCAAATCACAGATCATTGTCCCTCATTTTAAAGAGCAAATCACAGACCATTGTCCCTCATATTAAAGAGCAAATCACAGACCATTGTCCCTCAAATTAAAGAGCAAATCACAAACCATTGTCCCTCATATTAAAGAGCAAATCACAGATCATTACCACTCATGTTAAAGAGCAAACCACAGACCATTGCCCTTCATATTAAAGAGCAAATCAATCACCATTGCCACTCATATTAAAAAGCAAAACATAAGACCATTGCCCCTCATATTAAAGAGCAAATCACAAGACCATTGCCCCTCATATTAAAGAGCAAATCACAGACCATTTCCCTTCATGTTAAAGAATTACATCCTGGATGTCAGTTCAGCAGGGCAATTCTCAGATACCCCATTCAAGCTCGTAAGAGTTTAAAACAAGCCCAACAGAGGAGATATTGGCACAGCCAGGTACATCAATGGATCATACTCCAGTCAATACAGAGGAAAGACAGGTTTACTGTTTTAGCTGTGGCTAATTTTTGCTTCTGACAATAGTAATCCATTGCATTTTCCTACATATGTAGATTGAAAGGATATAGTTCTGTCACCTGGCTACTGAGCTGAGTGCACCGCACGACACTGTGAGCTGTGGATTTCCTTTGGAATGCTTTTCGACTGTGCCAAATGTGGTTAGTGTTGTGAACTGCAGAATTCAGAAAATGCCCAGTGGCCTGCTGCCAGAGAACTGGTGGTGCCGTATCTGATTAACTGTGTGTGAGACGACTGTTCTATTGTTGTAATCGCTGCTTCCATTATGAACTGCATTTTTAGTGACCGTTTGTGCTGGCACTTCTGAAGGAGCAGACGGGGGTGACCCATTTTCTACGAAGCTGGAAATGCGATCACTTACCCAAGTCGTCCCATGCTTTGCTACTGCCTGCAGTTCAACTCTTACCTCCCAATCTTTTAACATCACTGTCTAGCTCCCATCTCCATGTGTTTTTGGTCTGCCTTTTTCTATTCCCTTGTGAGTTCCAGTGTCAAGACATTCTAGTTATAGTGTTCTCAGGTTTTCTCAATGTATGTCTTATCCAGAGCTAGCATCTTTTCTTCACCACTTGGTTCACTGCAACTTGTTTAGTTCCCTCCCAAAGCTCAACATTAGTGATTATAACATTCCATTTCATTTCTTCTATTCTTCTCCATACAACAGTATTGATGTTACATAAGAATTTAACATTTTAAGTTTAGCATTAGTTTTTAATTTCTCTTGACTTCCACAAATGTCCTAGTGCAATGAAAACGTCTTGAGTCTTTTGTATTCTTATTTTCATTTCTATATCAGTTCCCCCATCTTCATCTACATTTGTCTGTTCAACAGAGTAAAACAAACCGTTTAACAACAGCTAAATAAAGACCAATAAAGTCACTCACTGACACACAGTACAGCAAGGAAAACAATGTAGACAATGAGTTCTCTCAGGGTTGTTTTCACGTAGAGTTCCCGGTTGCTTCTGGTCTCTTCTGTCTGTCGTGTGGCCCATAAAGCTGCAATAAAACAGAAAATATGGTAAAGTAAGTAAATGACCTTGCGGAAACTGATGTGTATTTTTCTTCATCTTCTGCCTTTTATCCCCCAGTGGAGCATAAGCCCTCATCAAATTTATCCCAAGTCGTTCTTTCCATCGTTGGTCTGTTTTTGGGCTATTATTTTGATAGGATTAGATAGCCAACCCCAAGCCCAACCCTACCCTTAGTCGCCTCTTATGACATTCCTGGTAGGGTGCTGCGTTACTTCTCTTTGCTTCCCGTGAGGGCTTCTGTAACACAACTGTATAATAGTCAATCAATAAAAACAGAAAGCAGACAGAAACTGTCAACGTTACTAGCTTTGAAGTTGGAGGGCATCTGCATCAGAGTTGAGGGACATAGTAATCTGTACACAATCAAGCCAGATTTGTAAAATGGATCTGCATGCAACACTCAAGTTTTCCAAGAAGACCACAGTCCGGAAATGGATGGACAATAGGACTCCTTGCTAGAGTTCACAGCCAACGAATGTAAAAGAAGAAGATCAGTTGAGTTGAGTTGAGTCACGAATTGACATCACAGCACTCGGGGCATTCCCATGCATGCTCCGTCCTCATCTTCAGCAGCCAGCGCAGAGTTCCAATACTGATGGTACCGGTCACAATTTGGTTAAATGTCCATCTTGCCTTTTCTCATTGTGCGTAGTCAGCCGGTCAGACCCTCTAGTTACACCCAGGTGGCTCATTCTCTCCAAGCCATAATAATCTTCTTTCTCAACTGATTCCCTTGCTTGTTTCCAAAGGGCCTTGACCACATCTACCTTGTCATGTATCAATTCACCACCCAGTGGTGCAAATCCAGCCAATCTGTCTGCCTGTTCATTAAGAAAAAGATCAATTTTACATGAACAAAATAACAACTATCACGGTATAGAAACAGCAACCACTTACATCGCACCCCCCTGATGCAGGAACTGAAAACTCCACCACCCTCTCTGCTGGACTTCTTCAGGTCAGTTGTAGAGCTGTCCATTTGGCTGGAGGATGACTTGGCACTCTGATTCTGGGCCATATAAACCTGTAGATATAAGACATTATCTGTCAATGTAAGTCTGTAGTAATGCATCTGATTAGATTCAGTGCTAGCTCGGAATTTAAACACCTCAAAATTCAAATAACTTGGAATAAAAAAAAATGTGTTTAAATTAAATGTGATCTCGAAACTCGAATGTGGCATTGCCGATCACATGAATAAGCTGACAAAGCAAGAGCTTCAGGACCTTAACCACCATTAGGAGGAAGAAATTGCAGATGAAATATCTTCTGGGGAAGAAAATGGGAAGCTGGAAGGGTTAGCCCAGCTGATCTTTTGACCATGTGGTTGAAAATGCAAGAAGCCGCTGAGAAGTGGCATCCTGAGACAAGGCAAGGGTCATACATAAGGCATGAACCACATGAGGTTACTGAGTGAAGTCAACCAAGCAGATAGGACAGGGTGTGCACGGCAAGGATCATACATAAGGTATGAACCACATGAGGTTACTGAATGAATTAACCAAGCAGATAGGACAGGGTGTGCACGGCAAGGGTCATACGTAAGGCATGAGATTACTGAGTGAAGGTGTATTAACTTTTTCAATGATTACATTATCACAAATTTTAGAAAGAAAAAAAATGGTCGCCAACATCAGAGCACTTTGAAACATTGGCTGTCAACAAAAACTAGTGACCCCCAAACCCTCTACAAGTGGTGAATTACAATATAAAACAAGAGGATACCTGATGTTATCATGGAAGGTGGCTCACCTTCCAAACAGTAATCTTCCTAAATCTCCCTTTATCCTCCTACCTCTACATGCTTTGTCACCATTTTGATCAAGGCACTGTTAATATGTTTATATATCTTTTTTATTTATACATATTTGTATTCAGAATACCTGCTTAGAATACCTTGGACAGCCAAAAAGAGCAACCAAGAGGTTTTGAAAGAAGCGGGAGCCCGAAGACAACTTTTCACAGACATCAGAAGGAGACAGTCATCATTTTTCGGCCATGTTATGAGAAGAGGGAAAATAGAACATGTTGTGACCACTGGAAAGATCTGTGGAAGAAGGGATAGAGGAAGACAACGAGAGAAGATGCTTGACAGTCTTGCTGCATGGCATGGAGGTGTGTCGGCACACAAACTGATACATGCTGCAGGAGATCGCAGATTATGGAGAGGCATGATCGCCCACGCCAGTCGGCAAGGCACCTGATGATGATGATTCAGATATGATTATTTACACTGTCTTGCAGTGGATTATGTTCTATTTTAAACTACCACAATAGTTTTGTCGCTCAGCTTTTGTGATGAGTGCATGGCACAAGACTGTGAACTGTGGATTTCATTTGGAATGTTTTCGGACAGTGACAAAACGTGGTTTGTATTGTGAACTGCAGATTCAGAAAATGGCAAGTGGCCTGTTGCCACAGAGCTGGTGGTGTCTTATGTGCTTAAATCGTGTGTGCAAGTACTGATCTGTCTGTAACTACTGCTTCCATCGATAATGAACCACATTTCTATTGTTGGACTGTTTGTGTTAGCAATTCTGATGACTGCCTTATGCATTTAACGCAGGTGTATGCTATTGAATATGCTAAGACTGCAGTTTGTCTCAATTTTTTTCACAAAGGACAGTGATGGGCATTCTGTGTGGTTTTTGTTGGCACAGAAATGAAGCAAGCACAGCGTGACCCATAAAGGAGCAAGCACAGTGTGACCAATAACGGAGAAAGCACAGACTGACCTGTAATGCAGCAAGCACAGGGTGACCCATAATAGAGCAATCACAGGGTGACTCATAAGGGAGCAAGCACAGTGTGACCCATAAAAGAGCAAGCACAGTGTGACCAATAATGGAGCAAGCACAGGGTGACCCATAATGGATCAAGCACAGGGTGATTCATAATGGAACAAGCACAGTGTGACCCGTAACGCAGCAAGCACAGGGTGACCCATAATGGAGCAAGCACAGCAAGACCGTAATGGAGCAAGCACAGGGCGACCTGTATCGGAGCAAACACAACATGACCTGTAATAGAGAAAGCACAGGGTGACCCATAACGGAGCAAGCACAAAAATCTGTAGGCAGTTCTTTCTTTGAAAAGAAAAAAAAAGGTGAAGGAAAAAAGCGGGCGTTTGAAATAGAAACTCACATGCCTTATGCCACAAGAGTGGTGAGGGTGCCTAGGACCCATAATGCCTATCAAAGGTAAACATATCAGTGCCATCTCACTGGTGAGGCATCCTTTGTGTACAGTGATGGGATTAAATATGATACTACTACAAAAAATTAGAGGTACAGTGGGTGTGGACAGGAGGAGTGGAGGGACAGTTTTTAAATAACAGAAGGACAGAAATAATGGTAATATAGTCGATTCTCCAAGGGTTCGACTAATCAAGAGTGTGTTAAAATCCCTGTGTTGGTTCTGGAGCTCCATTTGTGGGGAAAACAAGAACAGACCCACTGCCTTCCCAACAATCGTCATAAGAGTCGACTAACTAGAAGCTTTCTTTAAAGTTGCAGTGCATCTGCCCGAGCCGCAAGAAACAATCAGGTACACACAAATAATCAAGTAACATGGATGCGCAAGCAAGACTCAGGTCCTGACACAATGTAAAAGTCCAAAAGCTTTTTCAAAATTGATATTGGCTTCCAGATCTAATATAAAATGGGTACCTGGTAATGTCCTGGGAAATAAAGGTGACAAGTGTGATAACAATCACACCCCCACCCCCCCCCCCCCCCCCCCTTTCCCCCAGTACTGACTGGTCCTCCAGCATAATATGGCCGATGCACAACTGACATAACAATGGGTCCTATACTTCATTAGAGGAGTGACATTTTAAAATTGCATTTCCTATGTACGGCTTTGTAGAATATTGATGGATGAAAAGGCAGGCATGGTTAAGGCTTTATGTGAGCATGTATACAATTTTGAGGAGCATACCGAATACTGATCATCACAGTGGTGAGGGTAATGCAGCAAGGAGTGACGAGGGAATCTGCCTCAGAGGAAAGCAAGACGGACATACAATCAGACTGCTACCAGTACCATTCTTATTCAAACTCTGCGCTGGTTTTCCAACTCTGCGCTGGTTTTCCAACTCTGCGCTGGCTGCTGAAGATAGTTATGGAGAGCTTATGGGAATGTGTCGAGTGCTGTGATGTCGGTTCTTGAATTAACTAAACCCAAACTTTGTTTATGATTTCATGGCAAATAAGTCAACCAAGAAATGCTGCAGTCCTATGCCAGTGAAAGCCACAAGATCCTGTCTCTTGTAAACAAGCTGTGCCAGTGAAAGCCACAAGATCCTGTCTCTTGTGAACAAGCTGTGCCAGTGAAAGCCACAAGATCCTGTCTCTTGTGAACAAGCTGTGCCAGTGAAAGCCACAAGATCCTGTCTCTTGTGAACAACCTGTGCCAGTGAAAGCCACAAGATCATGTCTCTTGTGAACAACCTGTGCCAGTGAAAGCCACAAGATCTTGTCTCTTGTGAACAGACTGCAGTCTCAGAATAGGGCTTATGCATCTCCACAGTTCACGATCCCTGGCTGCCAGGAACATCCTCTTGATGATATCCCTCCATGCCATTTTTTCAGCTCAACCAGCATCATCTCTCTTGGTCTGCCTCTACCCCTTTTCCCACTGATCTTTCCAGTTGTCACGATGTTATCCAATGTCTCTCTTCTCATTATGTGGCCAAAGTAAGTGTTTGTCTCTTTCTATTGTTGTATACAGAGATCTACTTTCATTAGCTTCTTTCAAACAATCATTGTTGGTTACTTTGGCAGTCCAAGGTATTCGTAACATTCGCCTCAGAAACCTCATCATGGTTGCTTCCAAATTCTTCCTAATTTGTTTACTGACATTCCAAGATTTGCTGCCGTACAGCAGAACAGGTTCTATGTAACATATTAGCATACGCACAAATTAAATATATAAGGTGGGATTCAAAAGTGCAAATAAAATAAGTCTGCTCTAAGAATTGCAGATCATCAGCAATAAAAGCAGCAGTTATAGCAAATCAGTGGTTGCACATAAAATACACAAATGGTAACCCCCAACCTGTGGCAACAGGTCATTAACCATTTCATAGAAATCTGCAGTTCCTAATACAAACCACTTTGGGCAAGTTGAAAGGCAGTCCAAATAAAATTCACAGCACACTGTCACACATTGCGTACTCAGCTCAGTAGCTGGTTAATGGAACTACATAATTTCAGTCCACATATGGGGAAAACACAACAGCTAAATGTGGCAAAAATAAGCAAATAACTTGCCAATAATAAAAGCTGACCTGTTAATAATAGCAGTAATTAACACCCACATCTACCATAATTTCTCATCATATAGACGTATCTTCATAAGTTTGAATAGTTTTATTTTGTTAGCCGTTATATTATTATAATTATAGTATAGTATTACTGAACAAATATTAAATCTTCTTGTTCTTCTATTCGGCCTTGTACCTCAGCGAAGTGACGGGGGGGGGGGGGGGGGGGGGGGGGGGGGGCGGGGGGGGGGAGGGTGTAGAATTCGTGAATGAATGCTCTGTCAAGAGCACTATTGTTATTAAGACAGATGGTCATCATAATTGATCATTTGTTATTTAACTTTATTAATTTCTAAAATTTGCTTTTAAAACTTCTAAAATTAAAAATCAAAGTAAAAATCTACACCACAGTGGCGACAATCAAAGTCATAAACGCGTAATTAATAAGTTAAGTTAGTTATTCATACCTGGTCGCAACTGTGCGGGATTAACTATACAATAAAAGTTTACACTTACACAACTCCATTACAATAATGAACAAACAACAATAACAGAAACTTTTTATCGTCTGGAATCTAGAACTTCCATTGTTGCCAGCTGCTTGGCGGTAAGACATGCTCATTATTAATTACTAGGTCCTAATTCGTTTAAAACAACACTGTTCATACATTCGTGGTCAATAACCAGTTTTTTTTTTATAAAATATGTGTATATAAAAAGTATTATTCTGTAACTTTGTACCCCTCATCGTTCAAAATACATAATTTCTTTTTTAAATCATAGAACGTTAAATCTGGCAAGATAACAGATGCCACAACATAAACAGCAGACGGCTTTTCAGTCACAGTTCAGTACATTCATTTCTGGAACTAATTTGAATGTATTCACCCCTGTTGTTGTTGTTGTTGTGTGTGTGTGTGTGTGTGTGTGTGTGGTAATATTACTTACTAGCAGAGGGGTCCCCTCTATTTTTTTCCTCCATTACTTTCATTGTTTTTCGGTACCCCTGAACTCTCTACATGCCCACGTTCAGGAAACTAAAAGACGAGCAATGTCACAAGTACTATGCCGGTAGCCTTTACTTCCAGAAATTATTTCCTGCACCAATTTCTGTGTAGAGTTGTCGTGAGAATGCAGACCAGTTTTAAATAATCAACCGGTTAAAACAAAAGTCCGCCTAGAGAAGGAAATTAACCTTG